CACAAATGCTTTGTATGATTATCCTTCATGAAAGGAAAAGTCAGATAAGGTCATGACGGTTTTGAGCATTTTATAAACTCTAGTTTAAAAAAAAAATTCTACCAGACCAAAAATACGTTGTAAAGCTAGAGTAAAAAAACAGTATGGTACTAGTTCAGGAAAAAGACAAAGCAATGGAACAGAATAGAAAGTCCAGAAATATATGAGACTTTATTAAATTATAAAGGGGGCATTACAAAGCAGTGGGTATTTGATATATTATTCAGTAAATGGTGTTGGGACAACTGGCAAATCATTTGGAAAAATAAATAAATCTGGACCTCTAAATGTAAAAAGAAAAAGTAAGCCATAAAAGTACAATCACAAAAAAAGAATGAAATTTTTAATGATTTTTGAGTAGACCAAACATTTCTGAGTATGACATGAAATCCTGGGAGCTATGAAAAAACTGATTAGTTTGATAAGATAAAATCTTAAACTTCCATATAGCAGAATATCATAAAAATAGGAAGGGCTGGGCCTGTGGCATAGTGGTTAAGTTGGGGGCACTTTGCTTCAGCAGCCTGGGTTCGTGCATTTGGATCCTGGATGCGGACCTACACCACTTCTGAGCCATGTTGTGGTGGCAACTCACATATAAGTGGAGGAAGATTGGCATGGATATTAGCTCAAGGCTAATCTTCCTCAAGCGAAAAAAAAGAGGAAGATTGACAAAAGACGTTAGCTCAGGGCTAATCTTCCTTACAAAAAAAAAAGTAGAATTAAAAAAGGAAATAAAGCATGGCTAACTGATTCTCCATAGCAAAAATACCATAAACAAACAAACAAAAAGACTAACTGGGGAATATCTTTCTAACATATAGTTCCTTAATATACGAACAGCTCTTCCAAATCAATGAAAAGACAAATATTCCAATAGGAAAATAGGCAAAAATCATGAATAGTTCTTTCAAAGAAAAAGGCACATAAGTGGCCAATAAATATACAAGAGATTATCTTGTAGTTTTTGAAGAGCAGATTAAACCATATGTCATTTTCATTTAGCTAAATGGTAGTTTCAAGAGTCTCATAATGCCTAGTGTTTCTAGGTTGTGAGGTAATGTACTGAAACAATATTGGTGAGCATGTAAATTGGCACTATTTTTTAAAAAGGCAGTTTGATAATATCTATCAAAATTCAAGATGTTGACATAGACATACCATTTCTAGTAATTTATCATAAATACACTTGTGCGTATACATATATATCTCCACATGTATATAAATGAATGCTTAATGTTCAACGTTGCTTATAAAGCAAAAATTGGAAATAATCTAAACTTCCATCAGTAGGGGAATGGTTAAATAAGTAATGGTACTTTGATGCAATGGAATTTTGTACAGCTCCTAAAAAGAATGAGATATGTTTCTATATTTTTATAGAAACCTGTCCAAAATATGTTGTTAAGAGAAAGAAACAAGTAGTAAAACAGTGTATATAGTAGTATCTCATTTGTGTAAAAATATTTGTGTGTAATATATTCTTGCACGTGTGTAACACAGTTTTGGAAGGATATACATACGAGGAAGAGTTAACAGCGCTCACCTGTGGCAGAGGGATGGAGGGGTGCTGGTGAGGGAAGAGGGGTGTTTTAACTTTTGACTTTATACCTTTCTGCACTCTTAGTTTTGCTTATAACAAGCTTATATTACCTTTAGATAAAAAAATACTAAAATAAAAAAAGTTATCAATATTACCACAAGAATAACAATATCAATAGTGTGATTTCAGAAATTTATTTTATTTTATTTGTTTTTTTTTTTGAGGAAGGTTAGCCCTGAGCTAACATCTGCCACCAATCCTCCTCTTTTTGCAGAGGAAGACCGGCCCTGAGCTAACATCCGTGCCCATCTTCCTCTGCTTTATATTTGGGACGCCTGCCACAGCATGGCTTGCCAAGCGGTGCCTTGTCCACACCCGGGATCTGAACTGGAGGACCCCGGGCCGCCGAAGCGGAATGTGTGAACTTAACCGCTGGGCCACCGGGCAGGCCCCCAGAAAATATTTTAACAGCACCACCATGTCCAGCTGCACAGGTTGTTCATTCTGCAAATCCAGAGGGCGTCATTCACAAAAATAATCTGCACAGCCGTACATGTGTACTGTACATATGCATTTTAAAATAGTCTTTGAGATCCACCACTTTCCTTTCTGTCAGATCAACAGATATAAAGTGCTTGATCTCTTTAAGACTCTGTTACGGCAGGCCTAAACAAAATGAAAATCAAAGCTTAAAGTCAATCTGAAAAACCAAATGGCGAATGAACTGGCATCACTCCTGAACCAGCCCCACAGAATCTGGAGATACAGGATGAAGGTTGAAACGTAGTAGGTGCCTATTGCCCTGGATGGGAGTGGAGACTGGGGAAGAAAAATGTGGGGAGAGTGAAAAGATTAAACGAGGGGGCCTTGCATGGGCCAACAGTGATGTATGCCACGAACTGGGGCATGAGAGTAACTCAGCTCTGGGTGCCTGTCACTATATTCATTACCCCTCCTAGACTCCAGCGCTACCTGGCATACTATTTGAAGGAGGATAGGGTTGGCATGGAAGGTCTCTCGCCAGCCAACACCACCCTTCCTTTTCTTCTGCAGGCCCTTGCTCGTAGCCGCCCAGCAGCCAACTAGAGAACAATATCATCAGGTCCCCCCATTTCTGGGCCTCTTCCTCCTTTCATTTCTGTCTCAGGTGGCTTCCCCTCTGCCTGACCTTGCCCTGTCCCAGTGCTGGCGTCACACTTTCAGGCAGTGCTCCCTCCCTGTCGTCCCTGTGTCCTCCTTGCCATCTATCATCTGCTACTCAGGAGGCCACCTTGGGCACACTTGATCTTCAGGACCCATCTTGAGTCCAAAGACATCCCTCCCCTTCTGGAAGTTCTTCTTCCTTGTTAGAGTGCCATCGTCGTCAAGCTTATGTCACATGAGTTGTGGCCAGCATCTTGACTTGATTAACAGAGATGCGTATGAATATTTAAAAGCAGAATTGACCAAAATTAACTTTCAGCAATTTTAGTCATTTAGATCCTGGCAACTCTAATCTCATTAGGCTCCAGCATCCTTGAAAATAAGTTGCCTGTGGATAGTGAAACTTGTAGCTGGTTAGTGCCTCTAATTACATCCATGACTCAGATGCAGAACGACTCTTGCCATTGGGCAAAGACATCAGAATGTCGGCCGCCTATGGCCCTGCCAGGGCAGAGGGTATGTTCTCCAAGTTCACCAGCTGTGAAGCTATGGTGTGTTTGCCCATCATGATTTCCCTTTGTAAATCTTCAAAGATGAGGAAAAGAGTCAGGAACCTGAATAGCAAGACCTGGAATTTTGAGCCAGCTCTATAATGGGGAAACACTAAAATATCTTCATCTGGATTAATGCCCTGCTGGTGGTATCTTTATGTAACTATCCAGGGATAAAGTCCAACCATAATAATAATAATTTAAAAAAAATCCCAGTTGAGCCTCCACACATTCTCTGCTCACCAGAACTTGGCAGCATCCTTCTGGGGTGGTTTTGTGTAGCCCTGTTGGGAAGCAGAGGCCTGGACTGTGTGCTTCTATAGCATCCCTGCCCAAGCTAGGATTCCAGATGGAGACAGGCTGTGATATTTTTCCCTCTTGGTTTCATATGCTTGATTTATTTCTTTATCTCATATTTTTCTTCCTAAGGTTTAATTGATGTACCAACATGGTCACAGACTACAGTCTTCTGAAGAAGATCCTTCTGCAATGGAAGTGGTTGTAGGGCGTGGAAAAAAACGGAAAAGATTTGGGGGCTGGGGTGACTGGGCATTGTGGAGGCCCGGGTTCCCATTCAGCAGAGCCTGTCTGTAGGAACCACTGGCCTAGAGGCTTCTCTGGCTCTAGAAGCTTTGACAGGGTGTCCTGGGCCTGGGGTCCCCCTTCTCTACTATTGTGAGGGAACCTGGGGGTAGGGACCAAGACCAGGGACACCTACCTTGACCATTCAATCTCCTTTTGCTTTTATCAGGGACTTAACTAGACCCATCCTATGATAATGGAGGTCTTGAGAGTTTATGTGGTTTGAAACAAGCTCCCTTTTTGTAAATGGTGGCATCTGGGATGTAGAAGAAATGCTCTTTCCCAGGTTGACGGTGATGTTAGCGGTGAGGGGAGAAAGGCAGCTGGTGCTAGAACCAATACGGAATTTGGAGCCATTTTTCTTGGCTAATTATTTGGCGTTATGATAGTGCACAAGGCGTTAGCCCTCTCTGATGAGATAAAGGCAGTAATTTCTGGTAGGTTCTGATAATACTGCTAGGAAGAGAAGGTGGGATAATGATTCTGTGGGAGAAACCAGGGGAGAGAAACAAGAATGAACTCCCATTTGAAATGTGCCCAGATACTGTCCAGAGGAAATGATTGTTTTTGAGCTGGCAATCGGAGCACAAACTGGTATACAATGGCTTAGTATCATGGTCTTAAAAATAAGCCTTGAGATGTTTCTTGCCCATACAAATGTCCTCTCAGCCACAAAGATGGTGGCAGGAAAGCAGACAAAATCAGCACTTATTTTTCCTACGAGGCTGGTAAAAAAATAAAAAAGTAAGTAAATAAACAAGATTTGCAGGTAAGGACTTGTTTCCAAGGCTATCCTGACGTAACCTTTATAAGGGAGGTGGGACTAGGGTGGAGGGTCACTGTATCCAAAGACAAGACAAGAAGAATAGTAAATCCAAGTGCAGTTTCTGCTTAATTGTGCCCCATGTCTTTGGCCTTGAAGGGCATAGACTCAGAATTGGTCCAGTGTGATGCTTCATCAGTCATAAAGATTGAATTACAGTCCTTATTTGACGAGGATTGTAGCGTGAGGCCCAGTTAGTATTTACGTGGATTCTCTGTCATCGCCCCTCACTTTCTCCCCTTCCCGCCCACCTTCCCTTAGCACCGCCCCCCCCCCCCCCCCCCCCATTAAAAGGATGACCAGTTTTGAATTACGGTAATAGCTGCACTCTTGGTTTCGGACTAACCTCCCTGAAATTTTCAGGACCACTAATTTGTGGTTCCTCCAGTGCTAGAATGAACTTGGCGCTCTGGCCTTTAGACGGGCAAGGCAGTAAAAGTTTAAAGCGAAGACTGCCTCAGAGCCAAAAGAAGAGCGAGATTGAAACCTAAAGGTTATCCTGAAATGCACTTTACTGTTATCTATGAGAACAAATGAGTTAAAAAAATTTCAAATACCAGAATACCCTACAGGGAGGAGATATAACTATTAAAGGGCTGTTATAGCTGCAATAAATGTAGGAACAATAAAAATAAATTGATGAAGTAAATGTCAGCGCTGTTCCCCTGAGCTGCCCCCCACACCTTTGTCCAAAAGTAGAACATCTCCAATTACGGAGGGTGGAAACAGCCTTCAATGACAATATGACAAGGACAGAACACAGAACGCTGGCACAGAGAACACAATTATGCACAGCCTTGAAAAATTGTATCATAGCACAATGCATGGGAGAAATCAATTAATGATGCAGGACTTCCTCAGCTGTCTAATAATCCTAGAAAGGAAAGGAGGGGGAAAAAAAAAGCCCCGTACACCAGTGCATCAAAAAGGTGACCCTTAAGTGGAAGTCTCCATAATACCAGAGGTCAGTCTTCAGAGTTTATAGCATCTGCAATACTCTTTTTTCCCTTCTCGATTTTTTTTCCCCTTAAAAAAAATCTAACAGTCTTAAGGAGGCATTTAAGTAAAAGTCACTTCTTCTCTGGTTAAATAGCCTTGCAAAACAGAGTTCTTTGGTGGAAAGGGCACGGATGAGCAAAGCGCGTGGCTGTCGTTGCAAGCCCACCAGCTGAAAGGGAAGAGGCAAAAGTTAGGCATAAACATGGTAGAAGGTAGAAGGTGATTTATCTTGTGCAATTTACAACAGGTGCTAAACATTACGAAAACCAGAGCTATTAAGCAATCAAATTAAGCTATAATTATAACCGAAGAAAACTGTACAGGAATTCTAATTAATTCAAATCTGAACATGTCCAAGAGGAATGCTCCAGCAACCCCACTTCTGAATAAAACAAAACAAAAATAACCCTTGGATAATGCCTTCAGATTGCACAGGAAATTAAGAAATACTTCTCAGCCGGAATATTCCAGGCATTCCTTATTAAATGGTGAGAGAAATTCCCTGCAATGCTTGAGCACTTGGCTTTTCAGGTACACGGCATATAAAGCGTGTGGTTGGGGGGCCCTTAACTTGGCAGGATTTGAAGACAGAGTGGACCAAGGGATTCCACCGTACGTGTAAGCACTTCAAAGGGTCTGAGGGGTTAGCTCATTCTTCTCTCCTTTGAAGGTTTCTCCCAGGGCATGGGAGCCTTTTAAAGAGCTCTTCACTCTCCCCTTTTATTTTTTATTTTTTTGTGTCTTCTGGACCAATTTCATTTTCTATCAGCCACTCCTCTTCCAGTCCTCAAACCCAGTCTTTTCACTTGACTTGAGCTTTCTGCTTTTCTTCCACCCCAGGGAGCCTGGCGTGTCAGAAGACCAGGGCAGAGCTTTCTGTTGGATGCGCCCCACACCATGCAAGTTGTGTCACAGTAAGCCATAGATGTTACGGGAGGAGGGGATGTTTAGATATTTGAATAAGATTTCCAACCCAAAGACTCAACCAGTTGATTAGGGTACCTGATTCCCTATTTCATGATATTTTCATTTTAACAATTCAAGAATAGGAACAACAAAACAACAGCAGCGATAGCTAACATTTATCGGAAGCTTATTATGTACCAGATATTGTGCTAAATTCTTTACCTGGATTATTTCAATTAATTCTCTTAACCACTCTATGAAGTAGGCACTCATAATATCCATTTTATAGAAGAAGAGTCAGGGCCCACTGTCGGCTGTTAAATTGTTTGTAAAACAAAGATTCTTTTCTTTTTATTCTTGTGATGCTCTTGCATTTCTACATAATTTAACATAAATTCTCTTTCCTCTTCATTCTCTCAGGTTAGAGTGGTGGGGAGTGCGGGTGGGGGGAGAGCGATTTTCTCAGGATGAGTCTGCCATCTGGACTGAGGGCAGCACACCCCATCATTAGCACCGTTTTGCCTGCCATTTTGAATATTCACTTCTGAACATATCCTTGACTTTTGCCTCAACTTCACTTCCATTCACATTACAATATGGCACTTAGGGGCAAAGATGTGTGAAGAAACACTGAATTTGTGCATTTTGCTACATTCATAGCACTTTTAACCATTATTGGAGTTTGTGTTCTCACAGGAATCTCCATGCTGACTGTTGACAGCATTGATAAAGGGCAGTAGTTTATTTTTCTGCTGTGGTCTGGGTTCCTCCAAACTTCCCTCCAAGGCCACATGCCCTCTCCCTTTTATTCATAGGGTAGGCGAGGGTTGGTAGTTCTCGCGTGGTAAGATTAGTCTGTAAACGTTTGCTGGAAGCATGTAATAATAGCACTGTGAAGAAATTCTGACTCCCATGGATAGATGAGGAAACCAGCAATTAGAGAGTTAGAAATTGGGTCACATTGCCAGTTATGTGGTAGACCCAAGAAATGAGCTAGAGTGCAATGCTCTTCCATGGGCCATCCCACTTATGCACGTACATGGACACCCACACCCACATGCACAGTTTCCCTTCCTGCTCTTGCAGCCCCCTGCAGGAGATACAGAACCCCACTTTCTGTATCTTTCTCTCTTGCTTTTGAGGGCATCTCAAAAACCTGGGACTGAGAGGAGAGCAGTACTACCCAAGGCTCACTGCAGGGAGGTTTATGCCAACAAGAAAGGCTTTGTGTAGGGTACCAGGTGGCAAGGACCTCCAACCTGGGGAGTCCTGAAGGGCAGCCTAGGGATTCACGGACCTGGCACAGGACTTGGGACACAGTAGCCCCTCAATAGAAAGTAGACAATGTTATTATTACACCTGGGAGATATGAAGACACCTGCTCTCATGGAAATATGTATTAGCTGGGCAAAAGCCAAAATAGGCATACATTCAAAAAGGTAAATAATAATCCTTAAGTAATTGTTGTGTGCCATTACATACATGACATTCAATTCTCACAACAACCCAATGATGCTGATACAATTACTGTCCCCAACCCAAGGCCAAGGAAATTGGGCCTTAGAGAAATTCAGTGACTTGCCCAAGGTCTCACAGCCAGTAAAGGGCAGAACTGGGATTCTAACTCAGCCAGGTGGACCCAGGAGCCTGGCCCCTAAGAAACAAGCTATGCACATCACAAGCCCATGTTGTGAGAGGGGCTCCCAAAGGTAGAGTGTGAAAAGCCCAGTGGGAAAGGCTCTGGCCCTGGGGTGGGGGCAGTGAGAGAGAGTTGTCTGGACAGGCTTCATGGAGGAAGAGGGTCTTTGCAGCTGGGCTCTGACAAATGAGTAGAATTTGAGAGGGCAATGGGGAAGAAGGGATGGAGAAGGAGGGAGACGTGTGTAGGCGTCACAAATGGTATGACAGAAGGCAACCCCAGCCAGGGTACCTGGGTGGGGTAGAAGGACCCACAAGGTGAGCACCGCTGGTCTCCTTTCACCTCCCTTCCCTTTCAGGATTCTGCCTGGTTGCAGTTCTCATCCTGCCTCAGACTGGGGCAGGCCCCCCTCACCCCTAGTGTGACCTAGGCCCTAAGGCACTCTCCTGAGTTTGCAGCTCCTGTGGGGGTGGCAGGTGCCCTTGGGATCCCCCAGGAAACTTTTCACCATGGCTTCATGGCCTCAGGTGTTATCCGTGCTTTGAAAGACGTGGGCAAAGGCCTGTGGTGGCCTGTAGCCCTGACAAGTTCTGCTTGGCCGTCTGGCCTTATGGGAACTTTCTCAGCCTCCCCTCTGCCCCTCCCGTGTCCTCTCCTCCCCAGTGAGGAGCTTCTGGAGTTGGAGAGGCCCTGGCACTCCTTATACCTGTAACTCTCTTTCCAGCTTTTGAGATCCTTTCCAGTTTTGCGTAAGTAATGGGCACCCCTCCCTCCTGGGGATTGAGGCTAATTTTGCCCTCGTGCAGTGAGACTTGCTTTTAAACTGGCCTAGAGGGTAGCCCAGGGGCAGCTCCAGGGGTGTGGCTGGAGCCCTGGAGCGGCCAAACCAGTATGGCAACCATCCAGGTGACCTGTATCTTGCTCACTCTCTGTGAAGTTGGACCAGGAATCCTTTCTGGGACCAGAGCACGGTGGTGATGAGCTCTGGTTTTGGGATACGACTGCCTTGATTTGAGTTCCAGGTCTCTGGTGGCCAACAGGGTGGCCCTGGGTGAATCACTCAACACTCCATTCTTCCATTTCCTCATTGCACCTCTCATATAGGTTTTGCGAGGAGTCAATGGAAAAGACTTAGAAGAGTGTCTGGCACTAATAGATGTGCAATAAATGTTAGCTGTTGTTCCGTACTGTGAGAGTGCTGGGAATCTTGTCCTACCCGCCCATTTCACTGATGGGGGATCTGAGGCCCAGGTTGATTGTTTCCCAGCTTAAGGTCACCTGCCTGGTTTCAGTCAGGGCCGTGCTCCAGCGACACACATGACTCCCAAGCCAGGGCTTTTCCACTGAGCCAAGGTGCTGGGGTTGGGTCTGTTTCTCAAAGCATGTCACAGGATCCCACGTACCTTGTAATAAATAGATCTCTGGGCTGCAACCTGGCACCACTAAAGCAGAATTTCTGGGACGGTGCCTGAAAATCTGTATTTTAGTCAGGGGTGTGCCCCTCCCCTCGTTCCACCTCCCACTTGATTCCTTTGTACTCTAAAGCTTGAGAACCACCAGCTCAGCTTTGGGTGGTTTGGTCAAAATACAAAAGGATCGACCTCAGCGAAGTCTCCAGGTTTTTCAGTCAGCCCAGGCTTTGTCCTGCCTCCTGTGCACCCTGCCTGCAGCCCGTCAGCCTGTCCTCAGGGAGCTTACAGATCTGTTGATCGGCATCTGAGGTGGGAGTGGGGACTTGTGAGAAAGGGGGAAGGTCCATAGGGGTTTAGATACTTGGGGGAGGCTGAGATGATGGGAGACACTGACGTTCAGAGAGGGCAGAGGCCGGTGAGTGGAGAGTCAGGAAAGGCTTTAGGATGGGCACAGGCCACGGCAGCATGGGAGCTCTAAGTAGGCAGAGGAGAGAGGCGAGGGCAGCTCAGCCAGAGCCGCTCCGGGAGAGTGCAGCGTCTGGGAGCTGGTGTCACTGTGGGCAGCTGCAGGGGTACGCGGTGGGGGGCTGCATGACTTACCAGCTACCGAGGCACCCACCCCATCCTTTTGATACTGTCAGGCTGCTCTTTTATGGTTAAACAAACAAACACCCTCTCTCCAAAGCTGCTGTTGATTTGATTTCGTCTGTATCCTTTTATTTTTAATTTTTGGGTGGCTGTGGGAGGGCAGCTTGCCCCTTGATATCCTTTGTTCCTACAAGCCCTCAGGGACAGCAGAGGCCAGCATAGACATGGTGTGTCCAAAGGGAACATGGGAGCAGCAGACACATAGGGCAGGATGGAGATGACCTGGCGTGGGGAGCGGGTGCCGGCTCTGTGATGCTGGCTGGGTGCCACTCCCCTCAGCAGCTGCCCGCACCCCCTTCCTCCCACCTTTGCTCCCTGGTTATCCCATGTCTGCTCGGAAGGGGTGGGGTGGGCTGACCTTCGTGGCAGATGTGGAAGAAGAGAGTGCCCTGGTGCCCGTCCCTGGAGTTTACATAGATTTATCTGTGCTGCTTTTCATCCTTTCTGGAACCTGGTGGTATAAATTAGAAATAAATAAAAATAAATTTGTCAGCACTTTGTGAGTTTGTACCAAATTCGGGATGGCGGTGGGAGTGCGTCTCTGAACCCTTTAAGTCAGGGGTCAAGGTGTGTGTGAGGATAAGGACCAGATATCTGCTACCATCCTCTGGGTCCCTCCCACTGAGCAGAGGCTCCTGGCCAGACATCTTGATGAAAGAGGGGACATGCGATAACTGCTAATGTTCCCAAGTGCTGACCGGAGACCATTCACTGTTATAAGCCCTTTACCTAGATTAACCCTTCAAGGCAGGTACCAAAAGCACCATTTTCCAGATGAGGAAACTGAGGCCCAGCAAGAATAAGTTAATCACCCAAGGATGCACTGGTGAGTAGTAGATTGTAATTGGAACCTCTGCAGGTCCCACTCAAGCCCAGGTCACAGAATAGCTGCCCTCTTTGCTTGGAGGGAGAATGGACTCTGCATGTTTATTACTAATTGGCTGGGGAGACAGCTGATGTGCTTGACTCTGTTTTGTTCAGAGGCTGGTGGAGTCAGCATTGTTTGTGTTGGACAGACTGGCAGCTACTGGAGGGCAGGACTGTGGGCCCATAGAAGAACCCTGCCAAGGCCCCAGCACCCTGGACTTGTGTGCACGATGCCTTTGGCTGTGGATGGTCAAGTGCACCCATTGTGGGCAGAAATCCTCTGCCCCAACTTTGACAGAGAACCACCTTTTCATTACTAGTAAGCTCTCTCCTTGTCATCATTCTTTTCCCACCACTAAGTCTCTCATCCATCAATGGTTCTTGCCTGTCCAGTTACTACGGGGTATTTGCTTAATGGTGATTTTCTATTTCTATCATTGCTTCCACGTTTATTAAGTGAAATTCTACTGTAAGAAATAGATACCCCTTTCTTCCATCTATCTATCTAGTTATTTATTTCTATCAGCGTGGGCTCGGATATTTATTGTATTAAATCCATAGATCACCTTTAAATCCCACTGTTATCATTGTGAGTTTAGCCTTGCCTCCTTTCTTGCCTGGATCACTGCAACAGCCTCCTAACTGGTCTCCTTGACTCCAGCCTCCTCCCTTTCAAGGCAGACTTTACGCGTCCACCTGAGGCTGGGCAATGCCAATCTGACTCTATCACAACCCTTCAGTTACTCTTTTGCTCATAAGCCCCTTTGAGTGGTAATAAAATGACAACTCACATTGTTGAGTACTTACTAAATTCTTTCCATGCATATTCCCATTGATTCCTCACCACACTTGGATGGATTAGGTAGTAGTACTCTCAGCAGCAACAGCAGCAGCAGCATCCCCTAGTGCAGATGAAGAAACCGAGGCACAGAAGGATTAAGCAACTTCCCCAGGGTTGCTGAACTGTTAAATATTGAGCTTATACCCTCATCCACTAGACTCTCCCACTTGCTAAACAGGCTCTTAATGATCTGACCTTGGCTATTCTCCAGCCACATTTTCACCAGTCCTGGCATTCATTGCACTTTCCACAAACAGTACTTGTAAAAGAAGTAGAATTTCTTACCCAATGTTGGTAAGGATCCAGATGACATTTTGACTGCAGTGGTGGTAGGGACATTGGGAGCAGCAGAAAGAATAGTTTTCTAAGAGGTGTAAGTGTATAAATATTGACCAAGTCTCCTATGACTGTACATGAGTCTATGAGTTCATACAGTCAACGAGATTGTAACCCTTGTGAATTTTTCGCCTACCCACCCATACCTGGAATGACCTACTTTTTCTTTGTCTTCTGTACTTTCACTAAGGGTGAGGCAAACCTCCTCTGCAAAGTTCTTCCTGAGCGCCCAGTCTGCCATGATGCCTTTCCCAGCAGATTGCGTCACTGGGCTCAGAGCACGTAGGTTCCACTTTTGGCCCCTAAGACCTAGGGCTGTAAGAGCTTGTGGTCAAGGATCAAGTATTTTAACTTGTTATGTGTCTTCACTGCCTGCAAAGTGGCCTTCTGTATGATACGTGCTCAGTTTGAGGATTTACTGATGGATAACTAGGTGTGAGATGTGAAGAATAATGACTCTAACATAAGTATTAACTGTATTGATTAGTATTAACGTAAATATTAACATAAGTTAATACATCCCCAAATCCATTATCAAAACCATTTGGGCTATATGTGTTTTGGAACACAGAATTTTTCAGATTTTAGTAAGATATGATGGTACATATCCAGCATAATTTATAAAACCCCCAGTGAGGCCTGGGGGAACTGTCCCATAGATAAAGATATTAATATTTTGTAGTGAAATGAATGAATATTCTGAGGTAAATAAAAATTTTAGATAGCCTCATGACAAATTTTACCATCAAATAAGTTCCATTTTTTTCCCCCTCATTTTCAGAGCTTTTTCTATTTTGGAATTTCAAATGAAAGATTGTACACTGGCAGTAAGGTATTAATGGATGGCATAAAGAGGCCCCAACATTTTGTCCCGGGAGTCGGGATGAAAGAGACTTCCAGGGGTGAGAATCCTGAGACCACTGCAGTGGTAGGCAGGGGAGTTCTGTGGCTCCTCATCTGGGCGTGGATTGAGACCCCAGGTGGAGGATGAAGAGGCCAGTCAGGAGCAATTACAGTCGCCCAGGACAGCGGTCCTGAGGGCCTGACCTGGGCTGCTGGTGATGGGCTGGAGAAACAAAACTTGAGTGAAATGTTACAAAGACATGAGCCACAGAACTGGAGGGGGCGATTGATCAGATGTTCCCAGACTTTGTGCTCCCAGAGTGTTGATGTTTAACAGGGCTGGGGTGGAGGGGAGAGGCGCTGAGGAGATGGATGCACTTGAGTGTGTGGAGTGTACTTGTAGCCCATCCAGGTGGACATAGCTGTTAAGACTAAAAGAGAAAATGAGTATGAAACTACTTCTAAAGTGATTTGTAGTATGCGGATAATTGTTACTGTCGTCAATCTCTCTGTTATTATTATCACTCTATTATTTTGCAATACCCTCATCACTAGCCTGTAGCCCCCTGATGTGCAAGGCCAGGCCGGTTCTCAGACCAGCGTTTGCCCAGGGGTCCAGTCTGATCTGCTCCCAAGTCTCCCGGGAAACTGTAACACGTGTGCTCTGTTGGTTTGCCTGGTTGGCCTGTAAATGGTCACTTATTTATTGAAAAACATCAGTTTTTGTCTCTGAGTGGATGTTTGGAGCCCAGGTTTCATCTGGGGGTGCAGGATTCCTGGCTGGGTTATGAACCCTGGGAAATAGAGGACTGAATGGATATAGGGTCAGGCTTGTAGGTCATAAACTTCATGGTTAGGCTTTTACAAGTAGGATTCTAGAGCTGGAATCAGTCACAAGAGACAAGTCCTCCTCCTGCTAAGATTAAAACTGCCCTTGACTGGCAATCCCTGGTCAAAATGACTGTCCTCATAGGCAACCGGAAGCCTCCTGCCGTAGGGCTAGTTGACCTTTCTCCTTTTCTCGGCCCACCCTACAGAGTTGCCTTGAGCTGGAAGGACGGGTGCAGCGGGCCAGGGGGGTGGTTGTGTGTAGCTCTGGAGGAGTGGGCAGGGACACTCTGTCTCCCTGCTTCGTGCCTCTCTCACTGTTTGTTGGTGCTGCTGGGAGCTCTGTGGAGATTCTCAGGACTGGAGTGCAGCGGGGAGAGAAGGGGAGATGGGTTGAGGGATTACAAAGAAAGGGAAAATAAAATTGGCAAATTTGATTCAACTCTGATCTCAGTTCTTAAAGATTGATTTGGATAGAGCCAAATAGTCTTCAGGAAATGAAACCTCACATCCCTGGAGAAGTGCCAGCCCTCACGAATGGTTTACATGTTTGGTGATGCCCATCATCAGTCCCCAAATCCAAGAGGGTTCCTGCTCTGTCCTCACCCTATCCTTCCTCTGGGGTCGAGGGAGGGAGGAGGATCTGGTCCTTGCCTTTCTTAGTGGTCCCAAACACCTGCCTAAACACACCCTGGCTGACCCAGCAAGGTGCCTGCTGTTGCAGGGAGAGGATGCCTGACATGGCAAGAGGCTCTCCTCTTGTAAATTTAAATGGCTGTAAACTCACCACCAGACATGGTAAAGGCTGGAACCCTCTTTAGCATTCTTGGACTTCTATGTCTGCCCATTCCCAAGGGTGTTCAGTTTTGTAAGGAGGAGACGCCAACCTCAGTGAGGGGTCCTGCCTCAAGGTAGATCTGAGCAATGGCTGTGATGGGGAACAGTTTCAGCAGTGGCATGGATGTGAGGGCCTTTCCTCCCTGGGATGGAAAAATGCTGAGAGCTCTGAGGACGGCCATCTTAACCCAGATGCATCGCTTTTCCTCCTGGGGCTTTCACTCCCACCTGGCTCAAGCTGCCACCTGACCTAGAACACCTTGATATTCCTTTTTTGGGGTCTGAGACATTCTTTCTACACTTTAGATTGCACCTGCCCTCAGGTCACCTTGCTTTCACCAGGAGGAAATGGGAACACAAGGAATCACAATTCTGAGATTTGAGTTGGGAAGCAACCATGGACATGATTGGACTTATATTCAGTCATGTATTGAATGCAAAGTCTGTGTCCCTCCCATCTCTCTCTTTCCAAGTTCCCACACTGCCCACTTAGCACCTCTCCTCCCACCTTTCCACTCTTCATCACATTACAGTCTGGGTCCGTGACTTTCTAAGTCCAAAGGGATCCTGTGCATTTTTGGCTAACTTGACCTCTCCTTGGTTTTGGACACTCTTAGGAACTCTCTCCCTCTGGAAAGTCTCCTCCACTGACTCCTGTGACTTTACTCTCTTGGGCTTTGGGCAAGTTATTTAGCCTCTGTGAGCCTTGATTGCCCGTGTACAATGGGGGCAGTTATAATGTAGAATGGAGTTGTGAAGAATAAATGATGTGATGTGGTGTTTCTCCAAGTAAGGCTATGGGTACCACTGTAGATAGTGCTTGATGAACAGGTCATTGAACATTATAATTATATATTTTATTCCAATGTGTTTTACTGAAAAATAGCATATCAAACCCATGATTGTATTAGGATGTTATGAAATTTTTCTTTTAAAATAATAATAAATAAGTAAAATGATTGAAAGAAAAACATTTAGCAAATGATACTATAAGCACATGTGAATGTGACCAAAATTGTAAAGGTCGTACCCAGATAGTGGAAATTTGAAAAATACTGAAATAACATACATGGGGGAACTACTAAGGTGCCAGTTATTAATTAATTATTATGATGGTCCTACTCTAATTCTGTTTTTTCTTATCCTTGCTGGGCCCCCTTCCCCATTCTGTCCTTTAAACATACTCTCAGACATACAGTATACATAGGATATGAGTGTGTGTGTGTAAATATATAGAGAGAGACACTATAAATATATAGTGTGTATGTATGTACCTATATATATAGAGAGACAGAGACAGAGAGAGAGAGACAGAGAGGAAGAGAGAGACAAACAGAGAGGGACAAGACAGACAGAGAGAGAGAGAAACTCACTACTCTGATTACAACCCAGGAATTTTGGAGCTGATTGTGTCTAATGTATGATCCTTCCTCAAGCTGTATAGATGCTCAGGAGAAGGGAGATGAGCATAAACTGAAATAGAGGGAAGCATTGTCTGCAGAGGAACACCTGAAGGAGATCTTTACTGTTCACCAGTGTGACCCACTGGAAATCACCCACTTGTGGCCTGCTCTATGCCTCGCCAGCCCCTAGTATCCTCAGAGGCCTGGTGGTCGGGTTGGCCCTTTGGGGGATGGGAGGGCTGTATGGAAACAAAGCAGTGGCAATCAGGTGTGGGTCAGACCTCTCTAGGGGACTCCAGAGTTCCTGACTCTCACCAAGGTCCCACTCTGTCCTCACCTGACAGCAGCTGGGTATTCTGGAGTCCTGGAGGTAGGCAGTTACTTGCTGTCCCAGTGGGCTGAGTGGGGATCCAGATCCTCCGGAGGCTGGCTCTGGTACCCAGAGGGACTTGTACAAATACACACTGATTCTCCACTGGAACTGTTGGAATGCTTTCCAAGGCATATCTACAGATGATAAGTATATTTTAAATATTTATGACCATGTCCCAGAACAAACCCCATGGCCACTGAGTGTCCCCTAAACTTCTCTGGAGGAGTTCCATTGGTCTCTCGAGGCCATCTCCCCTCCAAAGGGGATTGGAGATCTTCAGATCCTGGGGTTGCATTAGGATTTAATCTGGACCCTGTGCTGTGTCCCACATAGGCTTGTATCAGAGTTTTTATTCATGTAAGACAATGGAAGAAGTGTACCAAAATGTGTTATCCTGATGGGGGTTTAAGTCTCCCTAATCCAGTGGACTGATTTAAGGGTGTGGTAGTTGTAGTTCTGTTGATAATGTATTTTCTGGAATGAGAGCTGAAGTGGATAATGAGTGAGTTGAATGGAAAATCTAGAAGCTTCCTCATCTTGGCTGTCTGACCCACCTCTTCCCCCAACCATCAACCAGCCCAGAACCTATTCTGGAACCCAAGCTGGCAGAGATATCCTCTGTAGAATTCTGTCTCCCTCTCTGAAGCTCTGTGGCAATTTTCCTGCTCCCCTTATCAAAGAGAAAGATTTCATTTGCTCATTTAT